TTTAGGGTTTAGGGTTTAGGGTTTAGGGTGTAGGGTTTAGGGTTTAGGGATTAGGGTGTAGGGTTTAGGGTTTAGGGTTTAGGGTCCAGGGTCCAGGGTCCAGGGTTTAGGTTGAGGGTTAAGGGCTCAAGGTCAACACTCTCGGCTGTGTTTTGGGTGACCCTCAACTAGAAGCAGATTACTTGGGAGCCCCACAAACCCTGCCCTAAAGATCCCCCTAAACCCTAAACCCCAAACCTTAAACCCTAAACCCTACACTGGTGAAGGTGTCGATTTCCCTCCCCCTTTTTGCTTCGTCAGCCCTGGCTATGATTTCGGCCTTTGGGTTCACAAGCATCGGGTACAGGCCTGGGAGTTTGGTCTCTTCTTTTTGTTGTGGGGGTTTAGGGTTTTGGGTTGAGGCATTCACCTCCTTCTACCAACAACCCCGCACCACACCAACTCGATAGGCCCGCACCGTTTGTTGTTGAACTTGTCATCGGTTCTCCCTAAAAACCCTGAAAACCTGAAAAGCCCTAAAACCCCTAAAACCCCCCAAAGACGGGGTTGAGGTTCCCCTCCCCCCCCCCCCCCCCCCCCCGCACCCTAAACCCCAAAACCCTACTTCAGGAGACTGCAGCAGTATGGAACCCGAGCCCAACTTAGTAATCGCCCTCACGAATCCCTGAAGGATAAGCCCTAATGAGACCCACACCGCTCTTTATACGTAAGCCTTCAACCACCAACACCTTCCTAAGGAACAGCATACCTCTAAACCCGAATTAAGCCCTGAACCCTAAACCCTGAGCCCTAAACACTAAACCCTAAACCCTAAACCCTAAACCCTAACCCCTATTTAAACCCTAACCCCTACACCCCAAACTGCCAAGGCCCTGAACCCAATCCCAGGTCTTGGCCAAGAGCAACATGCGCAGCGCAGACAATGAGCGAGGTGGCTGGCAAGGCTTGGGAGTGGGTCTAGGATAGGGTTTAGGGTTCAGGGTTTCGGGTTTGGGGTGTAGGCCGGGGTTTAGGGTTCAGGGTCTAGGGTTTAGGGTTTAGGGTATTTATCCTGGTTTAGGGTTTAGGATTGTCACGTATCAGTACGTAATCCCCCTCCCCTCCCTTTGAGTGATTCAATCTCTCCGGCAGCCCAAAATACAATTGCAGAGGGCTGGGGGTTTCTCGGGGCTACAGTCTTGTTTGCGGGGGCCTGGCTGTTTTAAAGGGCGGCCTCTTCTAGCAAGGGAACCCCCTGAAACTACATGGTTTTTGTAAATTGAGAGTGTTTTTAATTGGGTTGTTTACTTGCGGGGGGCTCTGTAAAATTCACCTCGGTAACCTGAGCCCCTATAGACTTCTTGAAGCCAGGATGAAGAAAGCAGTGCTGCCGCGGTATGCGTACCCTAACTCAGGGCAAAAGGGCAAGGAAGCTACTGAGATGTGCCGCGGTAAGTTTCGACCTTCTACCGGGGAATCCCTTCCACCTTAGACAAATGTTGGAACCTGTTTGCTAGGGGCCTCCTCTACAAAGTCAATTTGGCTGGGTTATTCAGGACACCCTGACTGTTTGGGGGTCCCGCTTTAAAGTCAAACGGTTCCCGAAATCTGGCATTTTTGTTTAAGGATTTGGGGCTTGTTTCGGCCCGGAGGCTCCAGTTTGGACGCTTTGGTCTCTTGGCTTAAAGCCGGGCCTTATGATTTTCAGGCCCGACCTTGTGATTTTTAAAGGCCGACCTCATCCATTCCAACCGGCCCGAAACCATGAATTCTCTTTCAGGAAACCATTAGAAAAGTTGGTTTCGTTCAATCCGACAAGGGGGTGGTCCAGGAGCCTCGGCCCCGAACGATGGCACTGATTTGGGACCTTGTTTTATGTCAAGGTCCCTGCCCGGAGGCTCCGAATTTGGAAAATCATATTCATACAAGCTCATCCCTTTTAAATTCATCTGGATCCCTTTTAAATGTATATAAACTTCTCCCGATTAAAATCTTATGTAAATAAACCCCCGGGGCCGTCTAAAAAAGGGCAAAATCCAGCCTCGACTGTTCACCGGGGGGAGGGGGCCCAACACTAAACAGGGTTCAACATGAAGCCGCACCCTAATTTTAGCATTTTCCCGGACTCTCCTGGCACCCAGCCGCATACTAAACCTGTTTGAGAATTGGGGGGGGGGGGGGTAGGGCTCAAGGCTCAGAGGGTTTAATTTGGGCCCACGGCCCAAGGCTAAACCCGAACTGAACCCTAAGCCCCAAACCCCAAACCCTACACTCCCTCCTTCTCTCCCACAGCCACTGCAAAAAAGGCTATTCGGCTTTGGGGTTTAGGCTTTGGATTTCAGCTTTTAGAATTAAGTTCGCCACACTGTTGAACATTTTTCCGGCCGAGGCGAATTTTTGAGTTTTTGGAGGGGTTTTAGTATTGGGGTGAAGCGGGTGGGTGGTGGGGTAACCCCATGCCAAAAAAGTGGTCAATGAGGGGCGCACAAGTGCTCATGAGGATTAGAGGTGGGGTGTGCTACACCTATGGCCCTAAGGCCTCGGCGGATCTCTATTAAGAACTGTTAGTATAAGGGGAAACGGGGGGTTGGGGGTTTGGGTTCGGGCCCTCAGCTGCTGCACTTCTTCAAGGCACCACAGGCCCTCAAGGTGGGCAAGACGTCCCTGCACTTCAGCCGGTGGCGAGCACGAGGGACCGGTGCGCGAAGGTGCTGGACGCGGGCTGGCCAACATGAACGCCGGCGAGGACATGTGCTTGGTCAAGGCTGACATTCACACACCTGACTCGTGGGCGAAGGAGCAGCAGCTCCATGGCACGATGGAAGAGTCCTAGTGTGCAGAGATCTGCGAGCAGGCGCTGCTGCACACACAGCACTTCCTGCAGGCCGGCTTCAAGCCAATGCGCCCTGCACCCTGCACTTCTCCGCGGACACAACAAGGATGCCCGCGCCGTCCCCCGGATGCTTTTTCCCTTACGGCGAGCCTTTGCATCAGAAGCGCAGGTTAGAAGGACCCATTGGCCTGAAGAACTGCACCAACCCTGGGTAGGTTCCAAGTCGACGTACTACGTGCCCCCTAAACTTTAAACCCTACAAACCCGACAAACCCTATAAACCCTATAAACCCTATAAACCCTATAAACCTTATAAACCCTATAAACCCTATGAACCCTATAAACCCTATAAACCCTATAAACCCTATGAACCCTATAAACCCTATAAACCCTCAACCCTGAACCCGTACAAGTGCCCATGAAACTCCAAGTGGTGCATCCCCGAGCCCTCTTGACAGCTCCGCCGCCGGGTCCGCAGCGGAACAGCCAGCTTCTCAGAGGATGCTTCGGGGTCCACAAGCTTAAGGTTTACAGGGTTCAGGGTTCAGGGTTCAGGGTTTAGGGTTTAAGGTTCAGGGTTTAGGGTTTAGGGTGTAAGGTTCATACTGAGGCGTTTCGCAACTTCACAGGGCAACACCTGTAGGGCTGCCCGGCGGAAGCTGCGCTCAGCCTCTTCAGCCTTTGAGCGCGCAGGGGCTTAACGTTGTGTGGCTTCAGTCGTGTTTTTGGAGGTTCACGGGTACCTTTTCGCCCAAGTATAGCAGCACATAGATTTTTCCCTATGCGCCACTTGCGTCCTCTTATCGCCATGTTGGGGGACTTGGGGGGCACAAAAGTTAGCAGAGCTGCAGCGTTGCCTAAGGGTTTAGGGGTCAAGGTTTATAGGGCTTACAGTATTTTGGCTCGAGGCCTCATATGTGTCCTTTTGGCTCCTTAGATACCCTGTAGATACCTTCAGCATCCTTGATCTGTCCTCTCAGTGTGCCGACGCGCAAGCCCTACAAACCTCGAAAACCCACATGCAGGAGCCTAAGCAATCACCAAGACGATCATCCCCGCAGAGGGTGAAGAATCCCTACTCGAAATGTGATACAGACTACCCAACATACCCGTTCTCGGTAAATTGGTCCCCAATCTCCCTTAACCCTAAACCCTAAACCCTAAACCCTAAACCCTGAACCCTAAACCCTTTTTGAACCCTAAGCCCTGAACCTTAAACCCTCATAAAGCGATCCCCTATATTTAACACTTTCGAGCCGAAGGCTTGCCACCCAACCCACCCAAGCCCATGGCGCCGCGAGGCAACTGGATTGTCTGTGTGACCTCTGGGGCTTATAGAGTCGTAGAGGGTTTAGGGTTTTGGGTTTAGGGTTTAGGGTTTAGGGTTCAAGGTACAGGGTTTGGGGCTTTAGCACGTCTTCCATGAAAATTGCATCTCCAAGGTGTGGGGATTCGTGGCGTAGGGCACATCGTGCGTCGCTAACAATTTGGGACACCATGAAGTTCATTGGTGGCAGGTTTAGGGTTTAGGGTTTAGGGTTTAGGGTGTTTCAGGGTTCTGGGCGCGAAAGTGCAGGCTTCCCCGCAATTTCGAGGCTTTGCAGGCCGCAGTTTAGGTGTGGGTGGGGTTCAGGGTTCAGGGTTCAGGGTTCAGGGTTCAGGGTTCAGGGTTTAGGGTTTAGGGTTTAGGGTTTAGGGTTTAGGGCTTAGGGTTTAGGGTTTAGGGTTTAGGGTTTACGGTTTAGGGTGGAGGGGCATTGTGTGGTGCCCCTGGAGTGGGACTTCGGAGACCGTTTTTTTGTGCGCACCTTTGCGTTCTTACTGGTAATGTCTTAGTAGCTGAGTGAGCACACTTTACACTTTTTGGGATACTATAATCCCCTATAGAACTGAAGGGTGTGCACTTTTTTGGGGGCTTATGAACTCAGCAACCAAGATGTGGAGGAGCGATGTGCTGTTTGTTGATTTTTGTTTGCCTCCGGATCTCGGAGTTCCAGCACCAACCAACTTTGCAGTGAGAAGGCATAGAACGACAACCTCAAGGAAGGGCTTCGGGTTTAGGGTTTAGGGTAGGCCTCTGTGTGCTGCACATAGTAATTATAGGCATAGTTGTCCAAACGCAATGACTCAATGTGTGGGCAGCCCGCGCCATTTTTGCTGCTAAGCCCTGCGTGGCACAGCTCCATTCATGCAAGGCGCCATCGGCAGCGGCGGCAGCATGATGCCAAACAGCAGGCGCGGAGGGCCAGGGAGCAAGCCGCTCGATGCACCCCCCACCCACATCACCCACTCACCTGGCCTCTCCACTCCCCTTGGACCCAAAACCCAATTGCAGTGGTGACACTGTAACTTCCGAAGATATCTACAGAGAACATCCATGCCCTCCATAACCCTGAAGCACACATGTATGCCCTTTGGCATGAGGTTGAGGGATGAAACCGTACAAAGATGATGCGCAGCACACCGTACTGAAAGCCTCCGCACGCACCCCAAAACGTGAAAACAATGAAGCCGAGACGCTTAAACCCGAGGCTTATGGGGGTTTTGGGTTTAGTTAGGGTTTAGCCTACAAGCCAATGTTTTTGTGGGGCAGAATCCCTGAAAGAACTCGTCCTTTCCCAGAGAGGCAACCTGAATTTCAGGAATGCTCCGTACGCGCAAGGAGAGGAGTGTGGTCATGGAGCCAGTGACATGATAACTCTTTCACTTGGGCTAACAGTGAGTCCACACTTGGACGAGCCTAAACAACTCGCAAGTTCCACGCGTCTGTGAGTGCCTGCTTGTGTTGGGTTAGTGCATGCGTGGTTGCACGTGTTGATGTGCCGTTCTCTGCAAGATTGTGACATCACAGCTTGCAAGTAGAATCAAGTAGAGGAAGTAGAGCCCTTTTAGCATTTTGCTTTGCAAGTCTGGCCCGCTTTTGTCCCGGTCCTGAGTGCGCCGAGCAGCACCTGCCTTGGGGCCGTGACCCCACTGCGCCGAATGGCTTCGCCACTTCCCAGGAGACCGCCTATCCCTCGCAGCTGGCAGCTGGCATAGCGCTGGCTTTCATCAAGGGCATGGTCTCGTGCGGTTGGGATGGGGCCAGGGTTGCGTTGAACATAGATCGGGACAAGCTAGCCACAGCAGCTGAAAGAGCCATCGCAGGCGTTCAGAGCAAGGCTTCCAGGTTCCCTGCTCCTGTGAGTGAACACAAGATGGTGGTAGTTCTGCGTTCGCGACGGCCTTTGACTTGTCCTTGCGAGCCTGGAAAGCGCCTCGAGCAGCCATTTCCGCTGCCTGCTGGTGTCAGGGCCACACCATTTGTTGCTTGTGTTCCTGCGAAGAGTCAGCTCCTCCGCAGTACACCCATCTCGGTTAAGGTTGGGGATTGGTTAGCTGGGTCTAAAGTTGAAGCCGAGCAGTTGTCATTTGAGCAAGCGTGGGGCGTACCGCATTCTGAAGCCGAGTTTGTCGAGGCTGCTGTGAAAGCAGGCCACCCGAGCAGCTTCCGCGAGGCGCTGCCAGATGTGCTTCAGAAAGCAGTAAAGTTGAATGAGACAATGGACGATGCAGACCTTGCAAAGATGAGGACTCACTGGATCCGCAAATGGGCTAAAAGGGCAGAACAACTTGCGCCCGAAGAAGAAGAGCTCAAGAAGACATTGCATCCTTCCTGCAGAGCCATCTTAGAGCCAAAGCGCTTGCTGCTTTACAAGGAAATCCTCACAGAGTGTAACTACCCGGACCCGGGTGCGTTCGATGAGCTTCTACAGGGCACGCAGCTTACTGGTGAAGTACCCATCACGGGGATCTTCACGCCAACATTCAAGCCTGCCAAAACAACTGTAGATCAGGTCAAGAGGGAAGCCAGCAGCATCCGCTCAGGGGTGCTTTCGAAGGTCCGACCAACAGGAGAGCTGGATGCGGAAGTGATGAAAAAGACATGGGAAGAGTGCAATGCCGGATGGCTTGAAGGGCCGATTCCGCTCAGTGAGCTGGAAAGCAGCGCGCTTGTAAGCCGTAGGTTCGACGTTGTGCAGGGGTCTAAAGTAAGGGTCATAGACGACTTCTCACTGGGAGGGGTGAACGGCACAGTGCAAGTGGCCGAGACTCCACGGCCACACGCCACTGACAAAGTGGCCGCCCTCTGCCTCGCACTGCTTGCAAAGTGTGGTCGCAGCACCGTGCTCGGCCGCACGTTTGATCTCAAGTCTGCTTACCGTCAGCTTGCAGTGTCGCCGGAGTCCTCCTGGGCTAGCTATGTTGCCTGTTGGGATCCGGCAATTCAGGCGCCACGGATCTTCCGTATGCGAGCGCTCCCTTTTGGCGCGAGCCGTGCTGTGTACGCGTTCCTTCGCGTTGCCATGTCTTTGTGGTTTGTTGCGGCTGGCCAGCTAGCGATACCCTGGACATCTTTCTTCGACGATTTCGTGACCTTTGCCCGGGGAGCAGGAAGCACACACTTGCAGCGTACTGTTGAAGCCTTCTTTAAGCTCCTAGGATGGGGTTTCGCAGAGAGTGGAGATAAGGCACAGCCTTTTGCGTTGAGTTTCCACGCGCTGGGGATAAAAGTTGACCTCAGCAAGTTTTGCGAGGGTTCCGTACTCTTCTCGAACACAGAGAAGCGCGTCTCAGAGCTTAGGGACACGTTCCAGAAGATCCTCGAAACAGGGCTGCTGCCTCAATCCTTCGCCCTGAAGCTTAGGGGTCGTATGCAATTTGCGGACGGCCAGCTCTTCGGAAGAACCGGTAGAGCATGCATGCGAACCATCACATCCTTTGCGTATGGCGACGCCGGCCCGGTGCTCACGCCAGCCGCTAGGAATGCGATTGCCAGGTTTTTGAAGAGACTGTGTGCAGATGCACCCAGAGTGATTTCGATCTTAAGCGAGCGACCTTGGTTCGTTTTCACGGATGCATCCTATGACGTGTCGAACAGACAGTGGCCATGTGGGCTTGGAGGCATCCTGTTCAACCAGTCGGGACAGGCGGTTGAGTTCTTCTCTGTGTGCTTGACCGCAGAGCAGATTCGCCTCCTCGGTGGCGATAGGTCCCAACAAATCATCTTCGAGGCAGAGCTCCTTGCCCTTGTGGTGGCGGCCCGGAAATGGGGGCCTTCCTTGTTTGCGAAGCCTGTAATGTTTTATGTTGATAATAACTCAACTAGAGACGTGGCTATCTCGGCAAGTGCTCGCACGTGCGTCCCCTCGAGTCTATTGGAACAGCTTGTTCATGCTGAGGAAAGACTAAGCTTGTATCCCTGGTACTCTCGTGTGCCCTCACCGTCTAATCCGGCTGACAGCCCATCGCGGGAGCTGCTTCAGACACTGTCTTGGAAAGGCCGAACGCTGAAGGCGTCAGATGTAAGCGAGACCCTGTGCGACTGCTTCAGTCTCCTTGAAGGTTGGACGGTAAATTAGGGGGTGAAGGTAGTCCCTGCCCTAGGGCCCGCACTGGCGGCTGCAACCCCCTGGGCCGGGAGCTACATGTAGATACTGTAGGGCACTGTAGGGTAGATCCCTCTGAGACTCAAAGGATATTCCCCAGCGTCACCGAAGGAAAAGAAGTGGCACTGTGCTTCTTCTGTACCTGGTTGCGTCTGCACAGTCACGTTCAGTTTAGGCCATGTTAGTCTGGAGTGAAGAGTGTGGTCATGGAGCCAGTGACATGATAACTCTTTCACTTGGGCTAACAGTGAGTCCACACTTGGACGAGCCTAAACAACTCGCAAGTTCCACGCGTCTGTGAGTGCCTGCTTGTGTTGGGTTAGTGCATGCGTGGTTGCACGTGTTGATGTGCCGTTCTCTGCAAGATTGTGACATCACAGCTTGCAAGTAGAATCAAGTAGAGCAAGTAGAGCCCTTTTAGCATTTTGCTTTTCCCACCCACCACGTCCCTGCAAAATGCGTCGGGCTGGCGCAGGGGGTGAAGGTAGTCCCTGCCCTAGGGCCCGCACTGGCGGCTGTAACCCCCTGGGCCGGCAGCTACATGTAGATACTGTAGGGCACTGTAGGGTAGATCCCTCTGAGACTCAAAGGATATTCCCCAGCGTCACCGAAGGAAAAGAAGTGGCACTGTGCTTCTTCTGTACCTGGTTGCGTCTGCACAGTCACGTTCAGTTTAGGCCATGTTAGTCTGGAGTGAATTTACCCCTCTTGCTTAAAACAGTGTAGGGGCCGTTGAAGGAAGACTTGCAAACTGAACCCTAAACCCTAAACCCTAAACCCTAAACCCTAAACCCTAAACCCTAAACCCTAAACCCTAAACCCTAAACCCTAAACCCTAAACCCTAAACCCTAAACCCTAAACCCTAAACCCTAAACCCTAAACCCTAAACCCTAAACCCTAAACCCTAAACCCTAAACCCTAAACCCTAAACCCTAAATGTCATGGGCCGTGTGCGGCTGCAGGTACCCCGTCCCGGCACAGGCACAGCCGGCTTCCTGGAAGGGTGCGCCAAGGCAGCGGAGGCGGCAGGTTGGGTTAGGGTTTAGGTTTTAGGGTTTAGGGTTTAGGGTTTAGTTAGTGTTTAGGGTTTAGGGTTTAGGGTTTAGGGTTTAGGGTTTAGGGTTTAGGGTTTAGGGTTTAGGGTTAGGGTTTAGGGTTTAGGGTTTAGGGTTTAGGGTTTAGGGTTTAGGGTTTAGGGTTTAGGAGCGCCCGGTTTTGTGGTGGCGGTTGAGGGGTTTTAGGGTTTAGGGCATATAAGAGTTTAGGGCTTTTTTTTAAGGGCCTGAGGGTTTTTGTTGAGGGTTTAGGGTTTGGCGGGCTTTAAGGGTTTAGGGTTTAGTTTAGGGTTTTTAGGGTTTTAGGGTTCAGGGGTGCAAGGAGGGACGCTTGTGCAGTACTAGTTTCTGTCTAAGGCCCTCAAGAAACCAAAAACCCTACACCCAAAAAATCTCCTTTCCCCCGAGGTCGGACTTTTGGAATTCTTCTTTTTGCCCTAAACCCGAAACCCCCAAACCCTAAACCCGAAACCCTAAACCCTAAACCCTAAAACCTAAACCTCCTAAACCCTAAACCCTCGCTGCACGGTGTCAGCTTTTGGGTCCGGGGTTTTGAGCTTGGGGGCCTAGGTGCTGTTCTGCCCGAAGCCGCCATGCTCTTTGTTTGCAGTTCCTAAACCCTAAACCCTAAACCCTAAACCCTAAACCCTAAACCCTCATCAAGCAGCTCTGCATCAAGAGCCCCGTGACCCTCCACACGATCTAGGCAGCAAACCCAAGCCCTTCTGAAACACACACCCCCAAAAAAGGCGCCGAATGTAGAAGAAGACCCCAAACGTTAAGGGTTGAGGGTTTAGGGTTTAGGGTTTTGCTTAAGGTTTTAAAAATACAGGCTTAATGTTTCAAGGGTTTGGGGTTGTTGAAAGCTTCAAGGGTTGAGGGGTGCAAGGGTTCAAGGGTACAAGGGTTCAAGGGTTCAAGGGGGTTGAGGGCTTGTTTAGGGTTTAGGGTTTAGGGTTTAGGGTTTAGGGTTTAGGGTTTAGGGTGTAGGCGATCTAAGCCCCCTTTAAACCCGAAAGGGTTAGCCGTTTGCTGAAGGTAGACTCCGCCCGCAAGAGCCCCAACATGAGAACTCCAGGCTGTAAGCCGTGCAAGTTCTGAGGGGTTCCGGAGAAGTAGGGTTTAGGGTTTAGGGTGTAGGGTTTAGGGTTTAGGGTTTAGGGTTAGGGTTTAGGGACCCTAGCTTTGTGCAACCTCGTGCCATAGCCAGGTGCCTTACGACATGGCCGCAAAGCGGGGGGCGCCCAAAGGCGCCAAAGGCACCAAAGGCGGCGGCAAAGGCGGCGACGCAGGAAGCCGGGTCAGGGTTTAGGGTTTAGGGTTAGGGTCTAGGGGTTTAGGGTTTAGGGTTTGGGGCTTGGAGATTGGGAATCTTGAATATTCGTGGGTTGGGCGGAGATTTAATGTTGGGCTGGGGGGCAGGGATTCATTTTCGCGGAAGAAGAATCCCTAAGACCCTTATAAACCCTAAGCCCTTGACCCTTGAACCTTTCAAATTTGCGACTCGGAGGCTAATCTTGAGATCCGTGGCGGTTCCTTGTGCTGTTCGCGGAAGAAACCCCCCTAAACCTATAAACCCTAAACCCTAGACCCTAAAGCCTAAACCCTAAACCCGAAGCCCGTTCTGGGAGCAAGATGTTAACTGGGCGACGCGTGCGATGTTACCTTCCAGTCATGTCCCACCAGTTCCGAGTTTCTTGCTGTTGGTTACTTGGGAGTGGGGGGGAATGAGGTACCCTACATAATCCCTTAAAGGGGACATGTATATATATATATATTATGTAATACCTTAAAGGGTATATAAGGGCCCTACTTCCCTCATTCCCTGCTAACCATTGAAAGGGCAAAGGTCGGAAAGGTCAGAAAGGCGATGGCGCTGGTCGAGTGCCGAGTGCCGCCCGAGCCATACATATCTCTCAGACTCCTAAGACCCGAAGCCATAAACCCTAAGGATCCGGCCAGAGACCCTTATAATACCCTAAACATCTAAGCCGTAAGCAAGTTGCAAACCCCTAAACATCTAAGCCGTAAACCTCCAAACGCCCCGGGACCTTAAACCCTCTATCTTACCCTCTATCTATACCCTAATCCCAAGACTACCCCTAAACCCTAAGCCCTAACCATCAACCCCAAGTTTGAGGATACGAGCAGTGGGGGCCGCCCAACAAACGGCCGCGGCCAGCCTCGAGCGAAGGCGGGGCGTTTTTCCTTGGAGGGGTTTAGGGTTCAGGTTTAGGGTTTAGGGTTTAGGGTTTAGGGTTTAGGGTTTAGGGTTTAGGGGCCTCTTGGCAGGGAAGTGGGGACGCAGGCACGCTGGGGAGTAGGGCAGATAGAGTTGGGAAGTAAGCGCCCTAGACTCTTGAAGGTTCGTAAAAAACTTGGGGGACATGGTGCCCGTATTCCCTCGTGATAGCGAGTAAGTTTCTTCGTAGAGTTTCCTGGAGAAGTGAGAGATGGGTTTGGGAGCTTAGGGTTTCGGATTTACAGTCTAGGATCTGGGGTTTAGGGCTTATGTCCCATTACCCTTTCGTTTGGGAATAGACCTCAATTCGCAAACAGGGCCCCATTCACTTGGTTTTGTTTGGCATTTCGGTGTTGGGTCTTGAGGGATTAGGGTTTAGGGAGGCACGAGAACTCGCGAATTCCCTTGCCGAAGTGCGAAACCGGGCTGGAATTGCTCAAAGAACCTCAACAGATTATAGTCGAGAATCCTTATCGCCATAACGGGTAAGCCCGACGGCAAATTTGTTTTCCCGAAGCTAATCCTTGTAGGTTTCGGGTTGACACCCTTCGTCCTTCGGGCAGTTGCAAGGGCCCATTTAGGATGGACCGTTATTTTGGAAATCCTACATACCCCGTATATACCCTACAAAGACCACATGATTTAGGGACCCTGTAATTACCCTTACCCAAGTACAACCCTGAACACTAAGGCAACACCCCTACTTGAAGCTTCATGGGTACTTATAAGTAGGGTTCTAGGTACCCTTGATTAGCTTATGACCATAGTTACCCTGCTTGTAACCCTCAGCCTTCCCTTCGTGTGCGAAGGCATCGACACTGTGGCGTCGGTGGGCGCGGCGGATGCAGGCTTCGACGAGGACAGCTTTTTGCCCAAGCCCTGCGTCCTGGTTTGACGCTTCAGGGAGTTTTTGGGTTTGGGTTCGCATCCCTTCACACATCTACCGGGCAAGAAAGAACGGGTAGCCTTTGTTACGGGCTGCACAGCGTTTTAGGATCTGGGTTCTGAGTGCCTTGACCTAAACCCAAACCCCCAAACCCCAAACCCCAAACCCCAAACCCCAAACCCCAAACCCCAAACCCTAAACCCTAAACCCTAAACCCTAAGAGGGGGAATGGGGGAGTGGGAAGGGCAGCAGAAGCCTTAAATCGGCTACCCTCTCGTGAGGAGTCGATCCACGCCTTCTACGCATCCCAGCCGGGCTTTGTGGCTTTCAAGGCCTTGGGCTTAGGGTTTAGGGTTTAGGGTTTGGGGTTTAGGGTTTAGGGTTTAGGGTTTAGGGTTTAGGGTTTAGGGTTTAGGGTTTAGGGTTTAGGGTTTAGGGTTTAGGGTTTAGGGTTTAGGGTTTGGGTATTTAGGGATTCAAACGTGAACCCGACGAGCCCAATACCCATTGATGAAGCGAAGTACCTTAAATCATACGAATATGGTTTAAGGAATCTTCCTTAGTCAAGGGGTATTGGGTTCTCTGGGAACATCATCAAAAGCAGGTCGCAGATATTTTTTAGACCGGGTCCTCAAAGAGATACCCTGAACCTAAACCCTCAACCCTGAACCCGAAACCCTTATGATGAGCACAAGCTTACTCAAGCTTGCCCGCTGCTTCAGGCTTAGGGCGTTGACGGTTTAGGGCTGCGCACAGAAGGGCCTCCCACGTCCGGCGATGTTCCCGGCCACTCTAAACCCTAAACCCGAAACCCCAAACCCTAAACCTTAAGCCCTGAACCTTAAACCCTAAGACCTAAGCCCTACCACCTAAACCGACACCTCAAAGCATACGAACAGTATAGCCGAGGCGAACAGTCGCCTGGGCGGCGGCTTCGCCAAGTTCCAGTCACCGGAGATGGCGCAGCAGGCCACATTGTTCTCGACCTAAACCCTAAACCCTAAACCCTAAACCCTAAACCCTTGATTAAGGAATATTCCTGAAACCATATACGGATCCTTAGTATGATTCAAGTGAACATATCTTCCTTGGTATCGTCGTTTAAATGAAACAAAATATCAAATTACATTAGTAAAAATGTAGCATCCAACTTCACTAATACAGATTAAAAGATTTTTAATTTTTAATTCAATCAAAACTACCGCCCTGTCCGTGAATACAAAACTGAATATTTTTGGTTTTTCACTCAAGTTGAAATTTCATACTTCTGCTGCAGCAGCACCAATTTTCTATCCAAACCCGGCCGCGTTTTGAGTTTGGGTAAGGGTTTGAGGTGTTCTCGAGCAGGGTTTTCGCGAAGTTGACGTGGCTTGTGCAACTCGTGCCTTCTCAAGCGACCTTTGTGGCAAATTCAGAATGGTAGAGCACAAGGAGAAGAAAATTTTCTCGTGATCAGGATGGTGTAGAGCGATAGGCAAAAGTTATTATTAGTAGGAACGATATTACAAGGTGTCCTTGATCTTCCTCTAGTTAAGGGGTATGGGGCTCTTTGGGGTATCAGGCAGATCGCCATATTCCACATTCTTCCCTTTCGGCACATGACGCTACTCCTGAAACACGAAACCCTAAACCCTTGGGCGAAGAAGCTGGTACGAGAACCTGGGCTATCCAGGGTTTCGGGCCCCGTCAGAATCCCCGCAATGTGTCATGTGTCAACTACCCAGCAGCTCCTATTCTAGCTAAATCGCCCTCTGGGCCTCCCCCACCCCTCCCCCCAAGCGTTAGTATCTAAGGGAAATTTCATCGTCCCGTAATCTGGTCCCTCTCTGAAGGGTTCTGAGGTATGGGCCCTGGCGTTTTTCCGAGTATACTATGGGCTCTATAAGGGTTCCCGAATCAAGGGCCCATACAGTATTGAGGGACAAAGTAATTACCCCAAGTGGTATAGTAGAGGGGGCCGCTACTTGGGATGTCCTTGCCTCGCCAAACTCTTCTAAAGCCTTAGCCCTTAAGATCACCCATAGTTTAGGGTTCAGGGTTCAGGGTTCAGGGTTTAGGGTTTAGGGTTCAGGGTTCAGGGTTCAGGGTTCAGGGTTTAGGGTTATAACCTCCACAAGCCACGCCGACCCCCAACCCAGCCGAAACCCAAGACCCAAACCTTGAGCCCTAAGCCCTGAACCCTAAACCCTAACTTGGATGAAATAGAATGTGTCAGTGCTTCACTTCCAACCCGCAATAGTTTCTCCCATCAAAAAATGATAAACATGTTCAAGACCGGCCGAAGCACTAAGAGACCCAAAAGGCGCACCAAAAGACCACCATTGCCATTTTTCGACATAAAATGGCTGCAAACGTTTCAGCGACAGCAAAAGAAAATCCGCCCCCAAACCCGGTCAAGCCCCGCCCATGATGTCTCCACCCGTCCTAGGTTGTCGAGGTACTTCTGCAAGCTGAGCATCTCGTAGGAACGTTCCGTTGTTGCTTGTGTTTCTTTCTTCTGGTAGGTTCTAGGATGCTGTACCGGGACCAATCGATGTTGTTTCTCTGTTCCACACGTGTATGAATGCAAGCGCAGCTTCAAAAACTTCGACTCGGATTTTGCCCATGGTATTCAGTCGTGACTGCTGAACGGTCTGGAAAGCAGCCGGTGGAAAGGGGGATGGCGGGGGGGCTTGTCTACGGCAGCGGCGACAGTCTCCTTGTCTCTCCTCGACCATGCGCTCCACTGCGGGTGCTTTGGCCACTGTCCTCCGACAAAGCGCCTGCTGCCGCCCCGAACAATACCAGCGTTCCTGCGAATGCCGAACAACACCCTAAACCCTAAACCCTAAACCCTAAACCCTGAACACTCCAAGGTCCAAAAGTGCAACTTCGGAGGTTTCGATACTGTTTTGACACACATGCATCGGAAAAACACCAAAACCACCAAAACCACCACCCGGTCGAAATGCCGGACCCAAGTCCTAGACCAAAACCCCTATAAAGCTTCTGCATAGCCCTCAAACCTAAAGGGCCCCCCCCCGCCCCCCCTCCTAAAACCCGCATCCCTAGACCCTCAAACCCACTCCCCCCCGTCCCCAGAAGTAGAACGTATGTGACGTCAAGTCAACCCTGTGCTTATGTAGATGCGGTCCCCGCTCCCTAAACCCTCAAACCAAAAGGCCTCTCCCAATTGTTTTATACACCCTACACCCTCATACCAAAAGCCCGCCCCCCCCCCGCCCCCGTCATCCTTAACCCTAAACCCTAACCCTCAACCCTCAACCCTAAACCCTAAACCCTAAACCCTAAACCCTAAACCCTAAACCCTAAACCCTAAACCCCCCCCCCCCCAAAAGGCGATGGAGGTCGCCACTGCCGAGGGCATCCCCTCAGCCATGGCTAGGAGCTTCCCTTTCGGCGGCTCTCGGGGCTTCGAGAGGTCTTTTGTCATTATTATTACTGATCTTATTAGTACTATTATTACTAGTGCTATTACTATTAACTAGTCTTTTGTATTACTAGTCTGACTACTACTATTTCTACTATTCTTATTGTTATTTCTATTATTGTTTTGGATGGTTTATGATGACTGCGGTTGTTGGTAGTCTTATTTCATTATGATTCGTATGATTACTATCCTTATTTTACTGTTACTAGTACTACTACAATTAGTATTACAGATATTATTGCTTTTATCATTGTTATTGTCATTATTATTGTTATTATTATTATTGTTATTAGTAGTAGTAGTAGTAGTAGTAGTAGTAGTAGTAGTAGTAGTAGTAGTAGTACCATTGCTTCTTTTAAAATCATGACGCTCTAAACCCTAAACCCCCCAAAAAAGCCGCTGGCGCAGGAGCAACATGCAATCGTCTTAGCCGGCGCAGTGGCCTGAGACTTGAGATCACCGACGGAGCCTCGAAACGGCCACTTCCCCGCTGAACCTTGGGTTTAGGGTTTAGGGTTTAGGGTTTAGGGTTTAGGGTTTAGGGTTTAGGGTTTAGGGCTTAGGGTTCAGAATCTTTGTGGATTGAGGGCTTAGGGGTTCAGTGGTTTAGGGGTTTGGGATTTAAGGGTCTGAGGGTCTCAGGGTTTAGGGTTTTGTAGGGTTTTGGGCTGAAAGCCGTGCACCCGAAAGCCCCTCTAGGATGGGAGGGCTTCTATTGCTGTTCCCTAGGAGTGTATAGATGGCTCCTTGTGAAAATTGATGAGTGTATATATATATATATATATTATATATATATATATATATGCATTATATATACACATATACATATATATATATATACCTATATATATATATATATACATGGGGCCGCAACAAAAAACCCTACTTCCTGTGCCAAGAATTCGAAACCCAAACGCCAAACGCCCCCAAAACCCTTAGGCCCCAAAGTCCCCTAAAGCCCCAAACTCTCCGCACCCTCCCCATAAACGGCTTGTGGTTTCGCGTTCAGGGTTTGGGGTTCAGGGTTTACCGTTTAGGACGTAGCGGGCTTGAGGATGGTTTAGTGGCTTTTGGGGTCGGCAGGGCTTAGGAAACCCGAAACCCGAAACCCTAAACCCTGAACCCTACACCCTAAAACCTAAACCCTAAACCTCAAGAGTGGACCCTCTTGTTGAACTTCGCCAGAGCCCTCGGCCGAGGCTGCTCGGAAGCGCTGGCTGTGGCGTAAGCATGCTTAATGGAAGTTAAAAGACCGTACTGCGGGGTTGTAGGATTGATTCGGGCGTTTAGGGTTTGAGGGTTTTAGGGCCGACGTGTGTGTGCACATATAGATATTTATATGTATCTGTGGCCCCTGGGGTTTCTGGCTTGGAGATTGTAGGGCTTAGTGGGCTAGGGTTTAGGGCCCACAGGGTTTGAGTGCTACCAGGGGTCTACCAAGATCCCTAAACCCTAAACCCTGAACCCTGAACCCTGAACCCTGAACCCTGAACCCCAAACCCGAAATCCGAAACCCTAAACCTCCTGCGAACTACCGGCAATCTCTGGAGCTCCTGAGCCCTGATCATGGCAATTGTGG